CAGATTGAAGAGAGTCTGAGCTTTTGTAAATTGGATCTACTGTTATTTCAACAGTAAGCAGACAAATCAAAGTTTCTCTAAATGGGATCTACTGTTATTTCAACAGACAGCAGACAAATCAAAGTTTTGTTGACCATGATATGATGAGTCATGCTTAATATGACTAGGGACTAGGGCTGGGACAATACGCATATTTGAAAAATTACTATATTGGGACACAATTATCTGTAAATTTCAAAATTTTCATTTATAATAATTGCATATTCAATATATCAAGGACAGAATCCAGCTCCAGCAGAGGGAACAACAAAGTCATGTTCACACTGAGTCCGAGTTTTGACACAAGAAAACATCAAGATTCTTTAGCAGGTCTCTAATTACAAAAGCACGTTGGACTTGATGTGAACATTTCAGTGTATTAAAAATCACATCTGCTGTTTTTATCCATAATAATGTCCTCACTACAGCACTAAACTAAAATTAAGAATGGAAAATGGAAAGAAAGAGAAATTATTTTAACAATGGCCAATTTTATTGGCCAAACGATACATCATTCAGGCTCCACACTGAGATTGGAGCTGTTTCATGTATTATATTATTTCATAATCCAAGTGAAATGTGTTTGGAAATGAACAAGAACAGAAATGTGTTTGGGTTCCTCCAGAGCTGAGAACCCTTCAGCTAAAGCACGGAGAAATGTGTAAGATGTCAGCAGCTTTATTACTACGGTCAGTGCAGAGCTGGAGGATTGTGGGTAGAAAATGGGCGGCAGTGCGGTGGTAGTGGAAGCTTAGCATTAAATCTCTCTGAAATCTCATCTACCTGCCATTAAACTGCCAAACGCACAGACACACAACCCCCCCGCTCGGGAAAGTAATAGATGAGCTCGTGTGTGAGTGTGTTTGGGGTGTAAATCTCCGAGCTCACAACAATTTGTTTACGATTCTTCAGGAATTCATCACGATTTGATTCAGTTCAGTTCATTTCTGTTTGTACGATTCAGAATTAGGTTGAAAAATACACTGAATATGCAAATGTGACAGGAGATATTATGTATACAGTACTGTAATACAGACAATTAAAACTGACCACCACAAGGTTTCACTTTTGAAAATTAAGACTGAAATTTTTAATTTGGAAAATAACAATACTATATTATTAGAATTGTTAAAAATTAATTCCAACATTCCAAAATCAAGGCAGTAAATCACCAACTTCAGCTGAGTGAATTGATACATTGTTACACCCCTGATGTTCAGTGAATGAGAAGGTTTGAGTGAAACACATGTACAGCAAGAGGGAGTGTACTGTGTGTAAAGTGTGTAGTGTGTTTAGCTTCTGCATCCATTAGTTGACTAATCTACCAGCTAGTCAGCAAATATATCCACCATTCTGCTAATATATCCACCAGTTGGCTAATATATCCACCAGTTGGCTAATATATCCACCATTCTGCTAATATATCCACCAGTTGGCTAATATATCCACCAGTTGGCTAATATATCCACCATTCTGCTAATATATCCACCAGTCAGCTAATATATCCACCATTCTGCTAATATATCCACCAGTTGGCTAATATATCCACCAGTCAGCTAATATATCCACCATTCTGCTAATATATCCACCAGTTGGCTAATATATTCACCAGTCTGCTAATATATCCACCAGTCAGCTAATATATCCACCAGTTGGCTAATATATCCACCAGTCTGCTAATATATCCACCATTCTGCTAATATATCCACCAGTCAGCTAATATATCCACCATTCTGCTAATATATCCACCAGTCAGCTAATATATCCACCAGTCTGCTAATATATCCACCAGTCAGCTAATATATCCACCATTCTGCTAATATATCCACCAGTCAGCTAATATATCCACCAGTTGGCTAATATATCCACCAGTCAGCTAATATATCCACCATTCTGCTAATATATCCACCAGTCAGCTAATATATCCACCATTCTGCTAATATATCCACCAGTCAGCTAATATATCCACCATTCTGCTAATATATCCACCATTCTGCTAATATATACACCAGTTGGCTAATATATCCACCAGTCAGCTAATATATCCACCATTCTGCTAATATATCCACCATTCTGCTAATATATCCACCAGTCTGCTAATATATCCACCATTCTGCTAATATATCCACCAGTCAGCTAATATATCCACCATTCTGCTAATATATCCACCAGTTGGCTAATATATCCACCAGTCTGCTAATATATCCACCATTCTGCTAATATATCCACCAGTCTGCTAATATATCCACCATTCTGCTAATATATCCACCATTCTGCTAATATATCCACCAGTTGGCTAATATATCCACCAGTCAGCTAATATATCCACCAGTCTGCTAATATATCCACCATTCTGCTAATATATCCACCAGTCTGCTAATATATCCACCATTCTGCTAATATATCCACCAGTTGGCTAATATATCCACCAGTCTGCTAATATATCCACCATTCTGCTAATATATCCACCAGTTGGCTAATATATCCACCAGTCAGCTAATATATCTACCATTCTGCTAATATATCCACCAGTCAGCTAATATATCTACCATTCTGCTAATATATCCACCAGTCTGCTAATATATCCACCAGTTGGCTAATATATCCAGCAGTTGGCTATTATATCCACCAGTCTGCTAATATATCCACCAGTTGGCTAATATATCCACCAGTCAGCTAATATATCTACCATTCTGCTAATATATCCACCAGTCAGCTAATATATCCACCAGTCTGCTAATATATCCACCAGTTGGCTAATATATCCACCAGTCAGCTAATATATCTACCATTCTGCTAATATATCCACCAGTCTGCTAATATATCCACCAGTCTGCTAATATATGCAGCAGTTGGCTAATATATCCACCAGTCAGCTAATATATCCACCAGTCAGCTAATATATCCACCATTCTACTAATATATCCACCAGTTGGCTAATATATCCACCAGTCAGCTAATATATCCACCATTCTGCTAATATATCCACCAGTCTGCTAATATATCCACCAGTCAGCTAATATATCCACCATTCTGCTAATATATCCACCAGTCAGCTAATATATCCACCATTCTGCTAATATATCCACCAGTTGGCTAATATATCCACCAGTCAGATAATATATCGACCATTCTGCTAATATATCCACCAGTCAGCTAATATATCCACCATTCTGCTAATATATCCACCAGTCAGCTAATATATCCACCATTCTGCTAATATATCCACCAGTTGGCTAATATATCCAGCAGTTGGCTAATATATCCACCAGTCTGCTAATATATCCACCATTCTGCTAATATATCCACCAGTCAGCTAATATATCCACCAGTCTGCTAATATATCCACCAGTCTGCTAATATATCCACCATTCTGCTAATATATCCACCAGTCAGCTAATATATCCACCATTCTGCTAATATATGCACCAGTTGGCTAATATATCCAGCAGCTGGCTAATATATCCACCAGTCTGCTAATACATCCACCAGTCGGCTAATATATCCACCAGTCTGCTAATATATCCACCAGTTGACTAATATATCTGTTTGTCAACTAACAAATCCACTATTTGGCTAATATAGCCACTAGTCAGCTATTGCATTCACTGGTCAGCTTATAAATCTGCTAATATATATCAGCTTATATAGCTGCTAGTTAGCTAATATATGCACCAATCAGCTGATATATCCACTGGTTGGCTAATATATCTGCAAGTCAAGCAACAAATCCACTATTTGGCTGGCATATCCAGTAGTCATCTGATATATCCACCAGTCAGCTAATATATACATTAGCCAATTCATGTTTCCACAGCTTAGCTAATCTATCTTCTGGTTGGCTAATATATCCACCATTTGGGTAATATATCTGCTAGTCACTAACAAATCTTTTATTTTGCTAATATAGTCACTAGTCAGCAAATATATCCACCAAATGGCTAATATATTCACTAGTCAAGTAACAAATCCATTAACTAATATATCCACCAGTTAACTATCCACTATTTGGCTAATATTTCCACTAGTCAACTAATATAACTACCCGTCAGCTAATATAATCAGTAGTCAGCTAATGTATCCTCTAATCAGCTAAAATTCTGCTAGTTGGCTAATATATGTTAGTCAATATATGCTAGTCAACTAGCATGTACTCTATAGTCAGCTACATGATCTGCTAGTGTGCTAATATGTCTATTAATCTGTAAATGTGTCCACTCTTTGGCTAATATACCCACTTTTGATCTAATAAATATTTTGCTAGTGGACTAATATGTGTGCTGGTCAGCTAACATGTCTGTTACTTGCTAATATATTTACTAGTGGATTAATATACGAGCTGGCTGGCTAACATGCCCACTAGTAGCCTGTGTAACCCAGTAATATATCCATTTATTAACTGGTGACTGGTCGAGTAACTGGTTAGAGATTAGTAAAGATTTACACTGCGTCCCAATTGCGTACTTAATACTAATGCTAACTAGTGTTTGAGTATGTAGTATGTAGTGTAGTCACAAATTGAGTAAACTCAAAAATCCACAATGCATCCTTAGAACCAGTCGATTTCTGAGTATAGTAATGATGGACACTATTGTCCCACAGTCCAACGGGAAAACGGAAAGGCAGGAGGTTCTCGCGTCTGGAAAATTCTGGAAAAATTGCCGAGAGCAGCTGCGGTGGTAGCAGGACCAGAAATGGTGTATAAATGAGTTCATCCCAAATTTGTAAAATATTCTGTAAAAAACAAATTTTACACTTACTGATGTTTTCATTTGTCAGCGTTTCTGTAAGAAATGTGTTTGTGAACGCACATTAATCTGTTAGCTAGCCTTGAGAGTCTAGCTTGCTATGATGTGCGTTGTCATAGCAACGGTTCGTTAGTGAGAATGGGGTAGTATGTTAATATTTTGTGTACTAACCTGTCGAGCTCATACTATTAAGATTAGTACACCCTATATAGCCTATAGTATTAGTGTGTAGCACACAATTGGGACGCAGCCTTATAGTCGTGTAACCTCCAGAGTGTACAGTGTGTGCGGCAGTGTGTTTCCTGTTTTTCCTCCAGAAACAAGGCTAATTAAACTGAGTTCCCTCTGCAGCGCGCAGAATGGATTGTTCTACATCCAGGTGATTTGTAATGTTCAGTGGAGGTTGACCGTCCGGGTGTGTGTGTCAGTTTTAATAGGAAGACTGATCATCAACCAGCACGAATTTGACAGAGCAATTACACACACACCCCAGTCCCACAGAGACACACACACACACACACACACACACGCACCTACACGGACCACCCCGCACACACCAGTCTGACTCTCCAGCTAACGTCCACACAGAGATACAGCCGGACTGTGTGTGTGTGTGTGTTATTGCTGAGTATGTTACGCATCCTGACAGTTTCAATGCAGAAGTTTATATCACAATACCTACATTTAGAGTCTGTTATTCATTCAACCTAATGAGAAACTGTAGAACAGACTCAGTTTATATCACAATACCTACATTTAGAGTCTGTTATTCATTCAACCTAATGAGAAACTGTAGAACAGACTCAGTTTATATCACAATACCTACATTTAGAGTCTGTTATTCATTCAACCTAATGAGAAACTGTAGAACAGACTCAGTTTATATCACAATACCTACATTTAGAGTCTGTTATTCATTCAACCTAATGAGAAACTGTAGAACAGACTCAGTTTATATCACAATACCTACATTTAGAGTCTGTTATTCATTCAGCCTAATGAGAAACTGTAGAACAGACTCAGTTTATATCACAATACCTACATTTAGAGTCAGTTATTCATTCAACCTAATGAGAAACTGTAGAACAGACTCAGTTTATATTACAATACCTACATTTAGAGTCAGTTATTCATTCAGCCTAATGAGAAACTGTAGAACAGACTCAGTTTATATCACAATACCTACATTTAGAGTGTTTGTATCCATGAGAAATAATAAACCACTAATAAACGTCCTTAAGTTCTTCTGTGTTTATTTACACTGTGCACAGTGTCCCAAGTATTTTGGAAACAGCGTTGCTAAATGACTCTTTAATGACCTCATCATTCAGATAATCCAGTGATATTTGGGCAGAAAATGTACACAGGACAAAACATTTCAGGTTCTCAACGTTTTTATTCACCACAGGACACGAGAGGTGATATGAAAACCCCATTCACGACTTCAGACTGAACTGAACTGTAATTCAGCTACATGTAGCTTTTGCATGTAGCGTCTTAATGCTGACTGTTTATTAAGAAAGAAAGGCTTCTCTTCCGTTTTCCTGTGTACGTGCAGGTACGTGTGTGTGTGTGTGTGTGTGTGTGTGTCTGTGTGTGAGTGTGTGTGTGTGTATGTGTGTGTGTGAGAGAGAGAGAGAGAGAGAGTGTGTTTGAGCTATAAAGTGTTATTGATGAGTTAATGCTGATGAGGCCGTTTTAGCTGTAATTGATTCTGACTTTATAAAGTTTTAACTTTTACAACACATTTATATCATAAATTTTATAGCTCAATTACTGAACATTGATTCTGGGACGAGTGTGTGTGTGTGGGTGTGTGTGTGTGTGTGTGTAGTGCGGAAATAAATGTCCAGGTCGTGGACGAGGCAGACAGGTGTGTTATTGATTTTTGGTTAGTTATTGCTCCGTCCACTTTGCTCCCAGCGGTCATTACACACATCCTCATCAAATTTGTGTGTGTGTGTGTGTGTGTGTCCCATCTCTGGTCATCTCTCAGCGCTGTGGAGGTTCTCATTTATCAGTTTGATACTGTATTTCTCAGAAATCGTCACTGTCCTTCTCTCCAGTTTGGCGTTTCTCTGGTTAAAGCGGTCAGATTAGATTCTGTAGAACATCATCATCAGTTTTACTAAACTGACCCGGTGGAATGATGAGCAGAGCCTGTGCAGACCAGTGCTCTGAAACAGGGGCTGCTCGACTATTTGTTTTGCTAATTACTCAAAAAAGCAGATGACTGGTCGTCATTTAAGCTAACATAGTTAAATATAACACAGTGTTCTGGATGTTGGTGAGAAGTAAAGACTCGCTAGTCCAATATTAGTCTAGCATATATATGAGCTGACCAGTAGGTACATTATCTGACTCGTGGGTATATCAGGCAACCAGTGGGTATATTAGTCTATCAGTGGTTGTATAAGCTGACTAGTGGGTATATTAGCTGACCAGTGGGTATATTAGCCAACCAGAGGGTATATTAGCTGACCAGTGGGTATATTAGCCAACCAACGGGTAGATTAGTATTTCAGTGGGTGTATAAGCTGACTAGTGGGTATATTAGCTGTCCAGTGGGTATATTAGCCAACCAGAGGGTATATTAGCTGACCAGTGGGTATATTAGCCAACCAACGGGTATATTAGTCTATCAGTGGGTGTATAAGCTGACTAGTGGGTATATTAGCTGACCAGTGGGCATATTAACCAACCAGAGGGCATGTTAGCTGAGAAATGGATATATTAGCCGACCAGGGGATATATTAGCCCACCAGTAGGTATATTAGCTGATGCCAACTATTGGGATACATTAGCTGACTAGAAGGTACATTGTCTGACCAGTGGGTATATCAGCTGACCAGTGGGTATATCAGCTGACCAGTGGGTATATTAGCTGCCCAGTGGGTGTATTAGCTGACGAGTGGATATTTTAGCCAACTATTGGGATGTATTAGCTGACTAGGAGGTACATTATCTGACTACTGGGTGTCTTCTCTGACTGGTGGATTAGTCAACTAGCAGATAGAGTGGATGGTTAAATATTAACCAATGTGCAGATGTGTGAACATGTCCATGTGACAGATGTGTGCAGATGAAGTCTAACCGGTGTGTTTTTCTTCATGTGCTTCAGGTGTGCAGTGTCATGACTGGGGTGTGCACCAGGGAGCTTCAGTGGGTGTATATGAGGGTGAATCTGGACGGATTCCCTGCCCGCTCTTCTCCTTTCCCTCCCTCTATAACTACAACCAAAGCTCCGGACTAACACTGCTGTGGTACAGACACACAAGCACTCACGAGCTGGAGCAGCCCATAGACCTGCGCGCACACACGTTTCTCAAACACCGCGACTCGCTGTGGATACAGCCGGCCACGCTGCAGGACAGAGGCCTGTACATCTGTATGCTCAGGTACGCAAAACACAGACACATGGTCCACATACATATATATGTATATATATATATATATATATATATACAAATATGTACACTTTATTAGACTTCACTAATACTGGGTAAGGCTCTCAAAACAGCCTCTGGTCCATTGAGATTCGGGTCCATGTTGAATGATTGCATCATGCAATTCCTGCAGATTTTTCAGCTGTCATTTCATGCTGTGAATCTCCTGTTCTACCACATTCCAAACGTGGATTCAGATCCAGTGACTGTAAAGACCACTCAAGAACACTGACCTCACAGTCATGTTCATGAAACCAGTTTGAGAGTTTTGCTTTATGACTTTATTTCATCATCATGCTGGAAGTGGCCATTAGAAGAAGGGATGAACATGGTCAGCAATGATACTCAAACAGGCTGTGGCTTTTAAACGATGATGGGTATTAATGGCCCAAAGTGTGCCAGGAAAACCCCATTACACCACCTCCACCAGCCTGGACTGCTGACACAAGGCAGGTTGGGTCCATGGAATCATGCTGTTGGTGCCAAATACTGACGCTACCATCTGCAATGTAAACCTAGATTAGTTGACTTTACTTAAAGAAATCTTGCAAATGTATTGCATGATTAAGGAAAGTTACTTAACTGTACATTGAGCTATAGTTACTTTCTCTTTTTCATTAATTCACACATCTTCAGTAAGTAAAATGAACTCAAACAGCCCAATAATTATAAATAGTTTCAGTTGTGCTGGCACTGCTCTACTTTTTTTCAAGTTTTGCTATTTCCTGAATGAATGAGGTCAACTTTAACCCCTTAAAATCCTGTTACATACTAAGGCCTATTATTCAGTAACTACAAGGACTTCAGTGCAAACTGGCTGAGCTATTCTTAGATTATAGAAGTGTGTAATAAAACTGGCCATTTAAGGGGTTAATCAGCCTAGTTCGTTTAACCTCTCAGTTAATTATCCCAAAAAACACTGCTTTACTTATTAAATTTGTTCGAACTCATTACCTTAACCTCAGTACAAAACATCATTACAGTGAGAACAACAAAAACATGTAAAATGCATCTAAACATTTAGCATGAAAATGTGCTATAACACAAAAATAACATCAGTATTCGAAGACAATGAATGAAAAATTAGAAAAGAAGAGTTATTTAACAGAAATCAACAAAAAACACTAAGAATGCTGGGAAGCATTTTGCAGAGAAGACTCTTCACTCTGTAGGACTAATCCAAATTAATTAAACTAGCTTTACTTAAGTAACTAATGCGTTATACAAGAAGTGTTAAGAGTCACCAGATTTGCATAATTACTTTTAACAAATGAGTAAAAAAAAATGAAGTTAGTGCAGTTTTTCTTTTTGTTCTTGGCAGACAGAAGTGCAAGGTAGCCTCCACAGTGGAGGACATGGCTCTTCTGCTGTTGTAGCCCATCCACCTCAAGGTTTGCCATCCCTGATAGCAAGAGGTCAGTGGGCCACTATTGGTCCACTGATGGCAAAGCTGGCGGTCCACTTGCGTTTTGCTCAGCATTTTCCAGGTGGCCCACCGGAGGTTAAGCAGAATAATAAACAAAATTCTAATTATCCTCGCCCAGTTTCCACTCACAGTCCAATCAGGCCACTGAGATTCTGATGGGTGATATGAACTTGTGCCTGAATGTGCATGATTTTATGCACTGCTGCTACACAATTGGCTGATTAGATAACTGCATGAGTGTGTAGGTGTACAGGTGTTCCTAATAAAGCGCTCAGTGAGTGTAGGTGGCTGTAATAATAATATATAACACGAAAATCGTATGAAAACAGACACTGCACTTGCAGTTTTGTATATATTCTACATTTTTTTATTCTGGTAGCATATCTGTAAATCATTTGAAAAACTGAAAAAGACATACTACACTGATATGAAATGGTGTGTGTGTGTTTTCTGCAGGAACACCACATCGTGTGCGAAGGTGGGGGTGCAGCTGCAGGTCTTTGTGCGTAATGGTGTGTGTGATGGTACGCTCCATCGTAACGTCACCGTCCCTTTCCAGAAGTCCTACACGCTGCGTTGCCCCGACCTGCAGCACCTGCCCAGCGTCTCTTACAATGTCACCTGGTACCATGTATGTCAGATATATACACATATATATATATATATATATATATATATACATATATATATATATATATATATATACACACACTAACTGTTCTGTCCTCGTCCTCTGTCCTGTCCTCGTCCTCTGCTGCTAATACTGGATTATATATCGAAATATTGGAAATTGAAAATCATCATCGAGTCTATATGTACACAAGTGTTCAGAAATTCCTGAATTACTTATTATAATAATCATTGCTTTTACTTTCATCTAAAACAACTTGTAAAGTGTAAATTCCAATACTGTAAGAGATATTTCATTAAGTATTACAAGCTTTTCAGGACCATCAAGACGTAATTAGTAATAGTAATTAATAATAGTAATAAAAAATGTACCATCAATTGTAATTGTACTGTAAATATAATCGTATAATTGTACTGTAAATTACTCCATTATAGTAATTTCTTCACTAGTTGTCTAGCTGAGATTTGATCACCAATTTCCAAAAACAAGGCATTCTGGGTATTGTTTTTTTTTTAGAACTTTTTGTTTTCTGTCGCCTGTTTATAAGTTGACATCTGTAAAGTTATAGAGCAGCAGCATCATAATATAATCATTTTATACATTTATCCACATAGAGTATATTTTTTACGGCCTTTAAGAATATAATCTCTCTCTCTCTCTTTCTCTGTCTCTCTTTCTCTCTCTCTCTCTCTCTCTGTAGAAGTGCAGGGGGGATTTGTCAGTTTTTTACCACAGGCAGGTAGAGGGGGATGAGGTGAAGATCTATAACTTGCTGATTGGTTCTGAGGGGCCGTACACCTGCGTTGTCTCCTACCAGAGCAATGGACACACACTCCAGTTCACTCGTACCATCAACATCAAGCCCGTCTGTACGACATGCTATACGTTACATTACTCAGCATTACTGTATTGTATTGTACATTACTCTGAATTACTCAGCATGATTTTATCCTACACTACTCTGTTCTATATAACTCCACGTCATACTACAAAATGATACAGTAATCTGTTCTACATAACTACTGTACTTTACTCTACATTACCTTACCTTACTCTGCATTACTCTGTTCTATTCCACATTGCTCTGAATTACTCAGCATGATTTTATCCTACATTATGCTGTTCAACTCATTATTCTACAAAACTCTATATTACTCTATTAGACATAACTTTACATTACTCTGCATTACTCTGTTCTCTTCCACATTGTTTTATTCTGCTCTGTTACATAACTCTGTTCTACTCTACATTACTCTACTCTACATTACTCTATATGACTGTTCTGCTCTACATTACTCTGTTCTACTCTACATTACTCTATTATACTCTACATTACATGACTGTTCTACTCTACATTACTCTACATTACTTTGTTCTACTCTACATTACTCTATATGATTGTTCTACTCTACATTACTCTGTTGCTTTGTTCTACTCTACATTACTCTATATGACTGTTCTACTCTACATTACTCTATATGACTGTTCTACTCTACATTACTCTGTTCTACTCTACATTACTCTGTTACTCTGTTCTACTCTACATTATTCTGTTCTACTCTGCATTACTCTATGTGACTGTTCCACTCTACATTACTCTACGTCACTCTATTCTACTCTGCATTACTCTACAGTACTGTGTTCTACTATCATTACTCTACATTACTCTGTTCTACTCTACATTACTCTATTCTACTCTACATTACTCTACAGTACTGTGTTCTACTATCATTACTGTATGTTACTCTATTGTACTCTACATTACTCTATATGACTGTTCCACTCTACATTACTCTACATCACTCTATTCTACTCTGCATTACTCTACAGTACTGTGTTCTACTATCATTACTCTGCGTTACTCTGTTCCACTCTGCATTACTCTACAGTACTCTGTTCTACTCTGCATTACTCTACTGTATTCTTTTCTACTCTGCATTACTCTACAGTACTCTGTTCTACTCTGCATTACTCTACAGTACTCTGTTCTACTCTGCATTACTCTGTTCTACTCTACATTACTTTATATGACTGTTCTACTCTTCATTACTCTATGTTACTCTATTCTACTCTACATTACTCTATTCTACTCTACATTACTCTACGTTACTCTATTCTACTCTACATTACTCTATATGACTGTTCTACTCTACATTACTCTACGTTACTCTATTCTACTATACATTATTCTACTATACATTACTCTACGTTACTCTATTCTACTCTACATTACTCTATATGACTGTTCTACTCTACATTACTCTACGTTACTCTATTCTACTATACATTATTCTACTATACATTACTCTACGTTACTCTATTCTACTCTACATTACTCTATATGACTGTTCTTGACATCACTCTATGTTACTCTATTCTACTCTACTCTGTGTTACTCTATTCTACTCTGCATTACTGTACAGTACTCTGTTCTACTCTACATTACACTGTTACTCTGTTCTACTCTACATTATTCTGTTCTACTCTGCATTACTCTATGTGACTGTTCCACTCTACATTACTCTACGTCACTCTATTCTACTCTGCATTACTCTACAGTACTGTGTTCTACTATCATTACTCTACGTTACTCTGTTCTACTCTACATTACTCTATTCTACTCTACATTACTCTACAGTACTGTGTTCTACTATCATTACTGTATGTTACTCTATTGTACTCTACATTACTCTATATGACTGTTCCACTCTACATTACTCTACATCACTCTATTCTACTCTGCATTACTCTACAGTACTGTGTTCTACTATCATTACTCTGCGTTACTCTGTTCCATTCTGCATTACTCTACAGTACTCTGTTCTACTCTGCATTACTCTGTTCTACTCTACATTACTTTATATGACTGTTCTACTCTTCATTACTCTATGTTACTCTATTCTACTCTACATTATTCTACTCTACATTACTCTACGTTACTCTATTCTACTCTACATTACTCTATATGACTGTTCTACTCTTCATTACTCTATGTTACTCTATTCTACTCTACATTATTCTACTCTACATTACTCTACGTTACTCTATTCTACTCTACATTACTCTATATGACTGTTCTACTCTTCATTACTCTACGTTACTCTATTCTACTCTACATTACTCTATATGACTGTTCTTGACATCACTCTATGTTACTCTATTCTACTCTACTCTATGTTACTCTATTCTACTCTGCATTACTGTACAGTACTCTGTTCTACTCTACGTTACACTGTTCTACTCTACATTACTCTCTATGACTGTTCTACTCCACATTACATTTCTCTGCATTACTCTATTCTACTCTACATTACTGTTTTACTCTACATTACTCTGTATTATTGTTCTACTCTACAGTACTCTGCATTACTCTGTTTTACTCTACATTACTCTACATTACTGTTCTAATCTACATTACTCTACATTACTCTGTTCTACTCTACAATACTCTGTTTTACTCTACATTACTCTACATTACTGTTCTAATCTACATTACTCTGCATTACTCTGTTCTACTCTTCATCACTCTCTATGACTCTGTTCTACTCTACATTACTCTGTTCTACTCTAGATTACTCTACATTACTCTATTCTACTCTGCATTACTCTACATTATTCTATTTGGCTCTGTTCTACTCTGCATAACTCTAACTGACTCTGTTCTTCTCTCCATTACTCTACATTATTCTATATGACTCTGCTCTACCCTACATTACTCTGCATTACTCTATTCAACATTTACCTGCATTTCTCTATTCTATATTCAAATTACTCACCTTAGCATTACTCTACATTACTCTGCTGTAGTCCACATTACTCTACTCTGAATTACCCACATTACATTGCATTAGTCTAATCGACTGTGCTGTACATTCACATTATTCTGCATTACTCCACACTACTTTATATTACTCTACTAGCCTTTTGTTTATGGAATATTTCTGTATGTATGTATGTGTGTATCAGCACCCAACTGTGGAACTGACCATCCAAGGGTTCTGAATCCAACATCTGGTCAGATCTACACAGTTACTCTGGGTGAGTTACAGTTTACATTAGGACTTTTTGATTCCAGACATTTTGAAGTTTTTTTAGTGAAGTTATTTAAGTTTAAGTTATTATTTAATAACACTTCCATGTCCAAACTTTACACTGTTCTCAGAATACTGTAAACTGTGAATAAAATGTTGGTTTAAATTTTGGTGTCTAGTTTATAGCATTTCAATCTACACTGTAAGTTATTACTGAATAAGTTATTATGATGCGTGACCCCAAACATTTGAGTGGTAGTGTGTATGCATGACCCTTTTATATGACATATAGCTGATATATATGTCCATAATACATGATATATGCACATGTATTGCCATATATCAGAATTCTGTATGGGACATAAGCTCACACTCAGTTCAGTTTCAGTCCCGTTTCCTACATAAACACAAACTCCATTCCAAAAGCTAGGCTAAAGCAGAGGCGCTGTGCGATGGAGGCTCAGATCAGCGTCTTGCAAAGTAGATGGTCTAATAAAACCACACCCTGTACACCCACATACTGTGTGTCATGTTGGGGTAAAGTCTGGCTGTGGTGATGCTGAGGGATGCTTGTTGCTCGGTAACGCTTTTCTGTGGTGATCGTGTAGGTGAGGCTGTTAATCTGACTTGCCGGGTGTTTCTGCCCTGCATGGAAAACGAGGAGCAGCAGGTGTGGTGGAGCATCGACAAGAAAACAGTGGAAGAACTAGCAGACCCTCGCTATAGCTCACCTGCAAGGAGGTACACTGGAGCCCCGCCTCACCCATACACCTCTCACCTGTAGATAGGTACACTGAAGCTCCTTCCTCCATACATGTCTCACGTGCAGCCAGGTACACTGAAGCTCCTCCCTTCATACACATCTCACCTGCAGTCAGGTACACTAGCCCCACCCTACCTGTACACCTCTCATCTGTACTCAGATATGCTGAAAAAGCCCTACCTGTACATCTGTCACATGCAGCTAGGTGCACTGAAGCCCTCCCTACCTATACATCTCCCACCTGTAGCCAGGTACACTTGAGCCCCGCTATAGCTGTACACCTGCTACCTGCAGCCAGGTACCCTAAAGCCCTTCCCCCCCTAACATCTCTCACCTGCAGCCAGGTACACTGAAGCCCCACCCTACCTATACAGCTCCCACCTGCAGCCAGGTACACTGAAGCTCCACCCTACCTTCACATCTCTCACCTGCAGCCAGGTACACTGAAGCCCTGCTCTACCCATACACCTCTCACCTGCAGCCAGGTATGCTGGAGCCCCACCCTACCTTCTCATCTCTCACCTGCAGCCAGGTACACTTGAGCCCCGCCCTAGCTGTATGCCTGCCACCTGCAGCCAGGTACCTTGAAGCCCTCCCCCCCCAACATCTCTCACCAGCAGCCAGGTACACTGAAGCTCCACCCTACCTTCACACCTCTTACCTGCAGCCATAGACACTGAAGCCCTGCCCTATCTGTACACCTCTCACCTGCAGCCAGGTACACTGAAGCCCTGCCCTACCTATACATCTCCCACCTGCAGCCAGGTACACTGAAGCCCTGCCCTACCTATACATCTCCCACCTGCAGCCAGGTACACTGAAGCCCTGCTCTACCCATACACCTCTCACCTGCAGCCAGGTATGCTGGAGCCCCACCCTACCTATACATCTCTCACCTGCAGCCACATACTTTGAATCCCTTCCCTACCTATACGTGTCTTACCCACAGCCAGGTACAGTGAAGCCCACCCTACATGTACACCTCTCACCTGCAGCCAGGTACGTTGAAGCACCACACTACCTATATATCTCTTGCAGACAGGTACACTGAATCCCCACCCTTTCTATACATCTCTCGCCTGCAGCCATGTACACTGAAGCCCCACCCTAGCCATACACCTCTCACCTGCAGCCATAGACACTGAAGCTCTGCCCTATCTGTACACCTCACACCTGCAGGCAGATGCATTGGTCACACCCTAGCTATACCTTTTGACCTCATCTAGTGGACAAAGAACATTTATAAATTGTTATTGTCTTTAATAGCCTTTAATGTATACATTATGTATACATTTAGAAAATTGGTAGTGTTCTGCCATGAGTGTCTGCCAGATATAATTATTATACATATGAGCATTTCTATAAGACTGCATTGCTAATGTTTATAAGCCTACATTATTAGCCTTAACATAAACAGATTTATTAATTGTAAAAGCAGTGTTTATGGCATCTTACTGCTTTTATGAAATTTTGCATTTATTTAGCACTGTCACCTGTTGATTATGGTTACAATGACTAATTTTCTAGCTAATGCTAAAGGTACTGCCTTGAGAAACTGTATGGAAGGGAGCATTTTTAATTCTAGTTTTAGATCAGATTCATAGGGCACATTGAATAACCCCCTGAATCAGCTGCGCTTGTTTATGCCGTGTCTGTGTTCAGTATTGAGCTGGAGGATTACGGTGATCAGACTGTGCAGAAAGTGCTGCACGTGTCCGAGTTTTCGGCGGCGGATCTTCAGAGGGAGTTTCGCTGCTCCGCCCGAAACAGCAGAGGATTCAACACCAGCGTCGCAAACCTGCAGAAAGAGGGTAATCATACTCACACACATGGTCATAATTCATATTTCATTAAGTTCATGAACAATTCATAGTAGACCCTGAATAATTCACAGTAGATACTTAATAATAAAAAGTAGATACTGAATAATTTACAGTAGATACTGAATAATTCATAGTAGACCCTGAATAATTCACAGTAGATACTTAATAATAAAAAGTAGATACTGAATAATTTACAGTAGATACTTAATAATTAAAAGTAGATACAGAATAATTAATGGTAGATACTGAATAATTCATAGTAGTTACTGAACCAGATACTGAACAATTCATAGTAGATACTGAATAATCCATTGTAGGTACTGAATAATTAGTAGTAGATACTGAATAATTATTAATGGATACTGAATAATTCACAGTAAATACTGAATAATTCACAGTAGATACTAAATAATTTATAGTAGATACTGTATATTTATTAGTGTATACTGAATAGTTCATAGTAGATGCTGAATAATTAATAGTAGATACCGAATAATTCACAGTAGATACTAAATAATTTGTAGTAGATACTGAATAATTATTAGTGGATACTGAATAATTTACAGTAGATACTGAATAATTTATAGTCGATACTGTATATTATTAGTGGATCCTGAATAATTTATATTAGATACTGAATAATTATTAGTAGATACTGAATAATTATTAGTAGATACTGAATCATTTATATTAGATACTGAATAATTATTAGTAGATACTTATGTCACACTTCCCTCTGTTCCCGCTGTCTCTGCCTCCTAGCCTCCGGACTCCATTTCCCCGAACCCTACTCCCGATCACATGACTACCAACCCCCCTCACATGACTCTCCAACATTCTGCCTCACCTGATTACTGATCACTCTCACCTGTTCCTTGTTATGGCTCCCTGTTGGTTTAGTATATAAGCCCGAGCTTTAGCTTAGCTCATTGCGAAGTATTGCCTTTGTTATCAGAGCCTTGCTGAGCCTTCTATCTGTCTGCCTGCCATTTCGTGTATGAACCTTGCTTTGTTTTCTTCGACCTTGCCTTTTTACCTCGCCCTCTCAGTATTGTTGTGATCTCTGGTTTGACCCTGTTTCCGTTTTTTGGACATTGCTTTCTGGACTCTCCTCATAGTTCCTGTTTTGGTGTATTGGTTTTTGACCTTGGACTGGCTGATCATAATTACAGATATTCCCTTTGTTAATAAACCTTTTTACCTAAGCGAGGTCTGCGAGCGTCTGAGTTCTGTCAGAGCCTGACAACTGGATAATTCATAGTAGATACTGAATAATTCATAGTAGATACTGAATAATTCATAGTGGATAAATTGTTAAAGTATCTACAATAACTTGCTTAGTAACTAATATAAGTTATTCAGTATCTACTATGAATTATTCAGTAATTACTAAAAATTATTCAGTATCGACTATGAATTATGGAATAGTAACTGAATATTTGACATTAACTGTTAAGTAACTTATAGGTTCGTATTAGTTACTGAATAATTCATAACAGTTACTGTACTGTAAGTATTAAGATCCGTAAGTGAATGACAGGGCAGCAGATTTAGTGTTTAAATTGGTTTTTTTTTGGGTGTTTCTGGACTGAATCAGGCTTTTTATGTATACGTGTATGTATGCATGTGTGTGTGTGTGTGTGTGCATGTGTGTGTGTGTGTCTGTGTAGTGTATATTCCCTCTGTGGAGCTGGGCTGTGGTCTGGGTGTGTATATATTAATGTATATGTATATGTATGTGTGTGTGTGTGTGTGTGTGTGTGTGTGTGTGTGTAGTGTATATTCCCTCCGTGGAGCTGGGCTGTGGTCTTTATGTGTGTATATATTAATGTATATGTATATGTGTGTGTGTGTGTGTGTGAGTGTGTGTTTTAGTGTATATTCCCTCCGTGGAGCTGGGCTGTGGTCTGTATGTGTGTATATATTAATGTATATGTATGTGTGTGTGTGTGTGTGTGTGTGTGTGTCTGTGTGTGCAGTATATATTCCCTCCGTGGAGCTGGGCTGTGGTCTGTATGTGTGTATATATTAATGTATATGTATATATATATGTGTGTGTGTGTGTGTGTAGTGTATATTCCCTCTGTGGAGCTGGGCTGTGGTCTGGGTGTAACTCTGGCTGTAGCTGTGCTGCTGTTCGTGCTGTATCGTGTGTATAAACTGGAGGTTCACCTGCTGTATCGCTCCTGGTTTGGAACTGATGAGAGATACTCAGGTAACACACACACACACACACACACACACACACACACACACACTGGACTTCTTTATTTAATGAAAAACACTGAACAGTAGAACACATACTGAGGTTTAAGTATAAACAAAGCTGTGTGGCCACTGACAGGTACTGAGGGTACTCAACAACTTTTTGTGAGTAGTTTTATTTTCATTTTTGTAAAAGTGAGGATTTGGAGACCCCTACTGGCCAGGTGATTTAACTGACCAACGTTTGCTAGTATAAATACAAGGTGAATACAAAGTGACTGTTTGTTTGTGACTTGTGCTTAAAGAAAACCTCAGTAAGCCAGGTTTACTGGAGAATGTGTTAAAGGGCCCATATCATGGAAAACAATATATCCTTACTTTTTTTAAATAAAGGAGTTTGATTTAATATGTAAACAGTTTATGTTAAAGTTTCAAAAAAGTAATGCTCGTTCCCCAGTCCATACTGTCAAGCTACAAAAATAGTCCAATTCAAACTCGTTTTTGTGAGGTCACAAAGTCACTTACCCCCCCCCACCCCCCCCCGGCCCTGATGATTACCGCGAGAACAGGAAGGTGGGGCCCGAACCCCGAGCAAGGGGACGAAGCCCCGCGAGGACGGTGGGGAGAGGAACTCTGTGAGGGAGTGGGGGATGGTGCGCGAGTCCCGAACTCTGCCGACCACGCCCTGCCGCCTGTTCCGCAGCAAGGCCGCTTTCCTACACCTCACGTTCGACCCTGGCGGACGAGCTGCGGAGCGGCAGTGACCGGGAGGCGGAACAATAAGCTCTCGTTCCCTCTTGGCTCAGGTGCTCACTCCTTCGCAGATTTCCTCTTCCCACCATCCTCGCAGGGCTTCATCCTTGCTTGGGGTTTTGGCCCCGCCTTCCTCCCGGTTCTCGCGGTCATCATCAGGGCCTGGGGGATGGGCAACAACAAATATTCTCTACAGGGTTTAGATCTGGACTCTGACCAGCCAGAACCATCAGTAACAACCATTATATTTTGGATTTGGCCCATTTTATTTGCCCAGTACTGTATATTTCCCTTTTTACCTCACAGCAGTTTAGCCCCGCCCTTTCAGGCTGAAGTTATAAGGAGTGTTTCAGCTTGGACTGTTTTTAGAATGAGGCTAACATGATGTCAGTTATGTTAATTATGACTGTTTACGGTACATTAACTGTAGGATACAGACCCTTTAATCTCACAGGGGGGAACGTTTGTGGCAGTTTATGGACGTTATGTAAACATCATTATCCTGTGCGCAGATGATAAGGAGTACGACGTGTATATCTCATACGCGCGGAACGGAGAGGAAGAGGAGTTCGTCATGACGACGCTGAGGAGGGTGCTGGAGGTGGAGCTCGGATACTCCGTCTGCATCTTTGACAGAGACAGTCTGCCTGGAGGGAGTGAGTTCACACTGCATACACAGTCTGGATCAGTACATGTTCAGGGGGAACCCATTTTCCAAAATTCCCCCATAATTCAGTGTGTGAGGTGTAATCAGAGTGATTCAGAGAGGTTTGGTGTGAAATGGTTCAGATGTCTTTACAGTGGGAACCAGGGGTCGCCATGACTACAACACAAATATAGACATTTTATTTACTCTCCAGAACCACCAGTGAACCTACACGAGTCTTCTGAGTTTATGTGGAGTGTTAATGATGGAAAATAGTGGAAAATCTGAAATAATAAGTTTTCTTTGGGGACTATTTTGCCTCACAGCGCCCTGCATGTATCCCTCCACCATGAATGGAGTTTAAGTTCTCAAAAGTATCATAAAACAGCGTCTCAGTCATCAGGCAGTGAATTCATAACCATTTCATGTAGTAACTTTCTGTGAGGGAGCTTTTAGAGGTGGACGTCTGGTTCCTATCACCACCACTGTGCACAGTTCTGACTCGGTAAGTTTATCTAGAACAGAGCATTTCACACCAAACCACTCTGAACCACTCTGATTACATCTTATCCACTTAATTATGTTTAAATTATGCAATAAATTGGTGGAGTTCCCCTTCAAATCACCCAAGATCTCCTCTTTGACCATCTCAGATTTACTGGTTTTCCTCATATTTTCAGGGAATGATGTCATTGTGCTCAAAAGACCAAATTCAGCCCTTTTTAATACCTTTTTGAAACCTCAAAAGAGGAAAAATAACACCATTTCCACTGAACAGTGATGCTGACAAGGTCAAACATGTGGTCAGTTTATGACCACAGAACCACTGTCTGCTGGATTTTCTTTGGTTGTTGGAAAATTCTGGATTAGTTTAATATGCAGAGTGATTCTTTTTGGTCCGCTGTTCAGGCACTGTTTTAATATTCAGTACAAAACAAGATCTTAAACTTCTAAAACTGTCCGAGTTTCATTCTATCATATCTGATCTACAGAGCTTCAAAGATCAGATACTGAGCGTCGTTATCTCTGGTTTCCTGAAGACTGCAGTAAAAGTCCTGTGTGGTTGTTCGCTGAGTTACGGTGCTCTAAATTTCTCTGGCTCTCGAGACCTCCACCACCAGCGAGCGTCTCGACAAAGCCGCCTAGGGTGCGCCTAAGTAGGATACAAATTTGTGAGATTCCAGGGTATCCGTATCTCCGGTTCCCTGAAGGTCAGCAATGCAGGGCTCGTCGGAAAGGGCGCGTCACGCTTTACTGACCTGTGAGGTTGGCTTTGTCACAGATTTTTAAAGTCGCTTGGTGCAAAGCGTTCCCTTCTCCTGTGGTTTTACTTATGACGTCATCAGTGATTCGTCAACTCAAATATCATCAAAAAACTCGTCTTTGAAAAAAATCTGAAGTCTACATTCTTGTACTGAACGTTATTCCCTGAAAGTATGAGGCTAATCTGAAATGGTTGATTAGTTTCTTTGTTTTTTTTTAAATCTGGTATTTGATATGGATTTACTGTTCTGGGAATTCATTCAAAGGGTCCATATTTTTGAAAACCACACCTATTTATTATAAACAAGCTTCAAAATGTGCTGTTCGATCTCCAGTCCATACAGTCCCTGCATGAAAACTAAACCTGATTTGAATTCACTGTTTTTTGTGATGTCAAAGAAAACAAGCCATTTGCATACATGCACCTATTCTCACTTTCTCTATGAAGCACAGTATAGGGCAGCCAATCAGAACAGAGCTCATGTACATATAGCAATCCTAATTAACTGTAAGGGATAAAGAGAGTTTGTGAGTTCAGTCCATGCCTGCAACATGGCGGTGGTAGTATGAGGGAAGACTGATTGAGGGAGGGGGGAGAACTCTGAGAACTTGGGCTGGAGTTCTGGGCAGATTCTGCCTGTAGCTAGAAGGCCAGACACCCCTCATAGCTGTAGTAGGACTGATGCAGGACTGAGGAACAGGGAGGAGGAACATGGGGTGGTGGTGGGGTTTGGGAACCTTTGTTATGGGAACGAAAGGTGAGGATTTGAATTAATAGGGCATTAGATTGGAAGAAGGAGGGGTTTCAGTCATGCTCCTCCCCCCAAACTTCTGTTATAACATAACTACATTTTGGAAAAAGGTCAGTTGTGACTATTTTTGTCGCATAAAGCCACACAAACATTATAATTGGACATCAGAGGAGAAATAAAAAATAGAAGAAGACTGTAGGACACGGGCCCTTTAATTTTTCTGTTTAAAGGGCCCATACTCTTTTGTTTTAAGGGGCCATACTCTTTTGTTTAAAGGTCCCATACTCTTTTGTTTAAAGGGCCCATACTCTTTTGTTTAAAGGGCCCATACTCTTTTGTTTAAAGGGCCCATACTCTTTTGTTTAAAGGGCCCATACTGTTTGGTTTAAAGGGCCCATACTCTTTTGTTTAAAGGGCCCATACTCTTTTGTTTAAAGGGCCCATACTGTTTGGTTTAAAGGGCCCATACTCTTTTGTTTAAAGGGCCCATACCCTACATTTTATGTGTTGACAGTTGCTAGGAAGATGCTGAATGGTTACTATAGTATTTTAGGTAGTTGCAAACGTGTTGATAAGTGGTTGCTATAGTATCAAAGGGTGTTGCCAGGTGGTTGCTAGGGTGTTGATAGGTGGTTGCTAGGTGGTTGCTGGGGTTTTGCCAGGTGGTTGCTACAATGTTGCTATGTGGTTGCTAGGGTGTCGCTTGGTGATTGCTGGGCTGTTGCTAGGTGGTCGCTAGGGTGTTACTAGGTAGTTGCTGGGGTTTTTCCAGGTGGTTGCTAGGATGTTGCTATGTAGTTGCTAGGGTGTTGATAGGTGATTGCTGGGCTGTTGCTATGTGGCTGCTAGGGTGTTGCTATGTGGTTGCTTGGGTAATGCTAGGTGGTTGCTAGGGTGTTACTAGGTGGTTGCTAGGGTGTTGCTACGTGGTTGCTTGGGTATTACTAGGTGGTTGCTAGGGTGTTGGTAGGTTGTATTTTTCCTGCGGAGGTCTGCTGAAAACGTCTGTGTGGATTTATGTTCCAAAGACATTATTATGGTCACTTACAGTTAAACAGGCTGTTGTAGTTACTGTGCTTTTCAGACTGATATATGTAAATGAGCTCTGTTCTGATTGGCTGCCTCATTTGAAATGCAGTCCATGCTGAAACACTCCTTATAACGTCAGTGCGAGTGGGCGGGGCTAGACTGCTGCGGGCTGAATGGGTGAATTCATGTGCATGCATTAGATTTTTTGTGACATCACAGAAACAATGGGCTTTTTTTGCAGCTTAGGTTCCATATATGGACTGCGGAGTGAGACGTTTCAATGACGTAACATGCTACATTCAAAATAACAGTGTGTCAGGATGTGTAACTGTCTGTGTGTGTAACTGTGTGTGTAACTGTGATATGTGTGTGTGTGTGTGTGTGTGTGTGTAGCCATTACGGACGAGACGCTGCGGTTCGTTGGCCGCAGCCGGCGGCTGGTGATTGTGGTGAGCGCGTTCAGCGCGGTGCAGGGTACCCAGGCTCTGCTGGAGCTTCAGGCCGGTCTGGCCATGCTGCGGGGGGGCCACCTGAGGGTGGTCCTGATCCAGTATAAACTTGTAAACAAGCAGTGTTGGGTGAAGGAGCTGCGCAGGGCGCGCGTCGCTCTCACCCTGATCCGCTGGCAGGGGGAGAAGTCCCTACCTCTGTCGTCTCGCTTCTGGAAGCAGCTGCAGCTGGAGCTGCCCATCCGCAAACACACCACACACACGGACACAGAGCGCACACTCGACCTCACGGACCACGCAAAGCGCAAACACCCGGAGGAGAGCACGGCGCTGATTCTGGACTCTCTGAGTAAACCTGACACACAGGCACATCAGAAACAGAGAGCGCAGAGCAGCAGCGCTGCGGTTTAAACCAGGGCTCCTCAACCACTTCTGCCTCAGGGCCCACCTGTTTACTTGCGCAGTTGCTAGGCTGATGCCGAATAGTTATAGTACTACAATATGGTTTAGCTGCAATATTCAATTCCATTTTTTACGTATTATTTGCGATATGCCGTTAGAAAGCTTGGCGTCTTGAAAGAAGCAGTTACGATCGTCTCTTTTGCAACATTTGCAGAGTGATTGCGCAGCTTAAGCAGTTGCTAGGCAGTTGCTAGGGAAATGCTGAACGGTTACTATAGTATTTAAGGTGGTTGCAAATGTGGTGATAAATGGTTGCTATAGTATCCCAGGTGGTTGCTAGGGTGTTGCTAGGTGGTTGCTAGGGTGTTGTTATGTGGTTGCGAGGGTTGCTATCTTTACCCACATGGTTAATAGAGTGCTACTAATGGACTCGTATGAACATGACCCCAGCTTTTGCGCCCTGATTCATTCCTAATTTGTCACTTAACGATAAATTATAAGAATAATAAGAGGAGGATGGGTTCCTCTTTTGAGTCTTGGGTCCTCTCAAGGCTTTTTCCTCTTGCTCTTAGGGAGTTTTTCTGCCACTGTTGCCCTTGGCGACGCTCAGGAACCTGATTTTTCTGTAATGCTGCTTTGTGACAGTTAAGTAAAAAGTGCAATAGAAATATATTTGACTTGGTGTTTAAAGGAACTATAGGATAAGAATAGTGTAAATGACGAATTCATATTGTTTGCAGTTTGACAGCATTTTAGATTTACTTTTAATTGTTACATGAGGTATTTTTTCCAGTGGTTTTTGAGTCATCACTGGCCCACTACAGACCACTGGCTGAGAAACCCTGCTTTAAACTGAATGGTCCTCACAGGTGGCAGCTCTCAGGCTCAGCACCAGAACCATCACCATCTCATGACCACTGCCACATTGTTAACATTCCACACTGTAAACCTAACCTGTTCTAGATCATGGAGCAGAACAGATGCACTTCATCCAAACTGTTGACCTGCGTTTTTTTTAACATCAGTTTTATGCATCAAATCGTCCAGCAATACGGTGATGCAGTATACAGTTAGAAAGCTTGAACTCTCAGGATTTGATTCCCATAAACCGTTTTATGATCCGTCATTCACAGCAGTTGCGACCGTCTCATTTACATCATCAGCACCGAATGAACACCAGCAAATCTGTGTCCTCACCCTCAGAGCCTCTCCGCCTCCACAGAGACACCGTCATCTAGAACATGCGGTCTGATAACACAGCAAGAGTCAGAGATCAGTTTAGAGATCGATGAGTCAGGAGGAAAGAAACTCCTCCGTTTCTCTGAGTCAGTGATTCATACAGTTATTCTGACATGAGAGTGTTTCCGAGATCACGACTGCAGCCCAGAGTATGTGGGAACAGCGCCCCCTGTAGCTTTGGGTATGCCATTTCAGGTAGAATTGGGGCCACAGATATCAGGCTAACCCTTTTATCTCCATCCTAAACTTAAGAGTGAAACAACAGCAGTACTTTAATACTGAGTTTGAACACAAGCTGATTTTACTGAATACAAATGAACTAAAAATTACAGACAGTATTTTTTTTTAGTTGCCAGAAATCATTAGGCCTTCTCTGAAAGTCTAGGAGGCTCTGAGGGTTCCTCTCTAGGGTTTACATTTAGAGCTGGGTCTAAAACCTCACACTACTACACTTTACTCCATAGGAAGGAATTTGAATGGATTTTGATATTGTAATAAATGAATTTGGAATTTTGAAATTTGAATTTAAAATTTTGATATTGCTATTTTGCTATTTTGATGTGGTGTGGTAGTCTGCGGTTTTGGACGCAGCCTAACTTCAGATTTCATAACTTGAGATTTGTGAAAAATCTCATCTTGACCTCATCAGATCTTATATATATATATATATGTGTGTGTGTGTGTGTGTGTGTGTGTGTGTGTGTGTGTGTGTATGTATGTATAGAATCGCTACTGTTGGACCAAAACCTCATATCTTCAAAACGGCAACTTTACAGAAGAAGGAAAAAACCTACTTTACTTTTAATGTATTTAATGTAAGTCAATGGAAGCAGATTTTTTTTTCAAAATGATTTTGGGCTGTTTCTGTTGGTCCATTCATCATGAAATTTATGGTATTTATGGAATACATATATGCGTGCATGTTTTACTGAATGTTGACAGGATGTGATCATCTTTTCTTTTGTTAAAAGGTTTAATTTGTGGAGTTTTTATTGTTAATTTTATTGTCATTTATGTCTCTCAGCCATTTCACATTCATTTGAATTGCTTTTGTGTTCATTTCCAGAACTGATGCCATATTTTCATATTTTGTGTTGCCTTTGTTTCTAGAAATGAATAAATATTTTTGTATTCATACAAACAGTATCATGCATTTCATTCGGACTGGGAGGCTGTGGTATGTGTGTGTGTGTGTGGGTGTGTGTCCATTAATGGTCAGATTAATATAAACTGCGTCCAGCTGACTGTGCAGGTTTACATAACTGGATCTTTCTGTTCAGTGTATATTCCATTAGAGGATAATACAGTGTAATCAATATGCTAATGAAGGAGTGTAGAGTGTAATCAGTATGCTAATGAAGGCTGAGCTCAGGCTGTGCTCCTGTATGAACTCTCTAATCTCGCTCACCTGATTCTCTTCGTTAGCGGTGGTTAATTAGCTGTAGAGGTGAGCCGGGTGTGTCACAGCAGATAGAATACAGTAATGTACAGCTTACAGAGTCTCGCTGACCGAGCGGATTACGCAGTGTGGAGTGAAGAGGTTCATGGAGAAGGGTTTGATGTGGTATTTAAACAGCCCATGTGTGGAGGCCAAGCTAAGCTAAGCTAAGCAGCCCATTTTTGCTGTTGTCGTGTCTGCAGGGAGAGTGAGGATGAGGAGAGGAAGTGCAGAACTACGCCACCTGCAGGCCGCATGCAAAACATTTTCACCATGGTGAATTAACCAGCTTTGTGATTGTGGTTTGTGTTTATTTTGCAACAGTAGCTATTAGTGCAATAAAATAACGATACTTATTAGTGCAATAAATAACAGAAATGATGGTGAAAACTATTTATGTCTTTTACTGTCAGCTGACACGGCACATTGTGTTGTACAACCTGCAACATACATCATCTCCAATTCACTGTTACGATTAAATCAACCAGCAGGGGGCGCTCTGACCACTTTCCTTCCCTATGGGTGGAGAATAATGTGGTGATAATATTTTGCTAAAATGCAGGATGTTTCGGTAAAAATAAATAGCTATAAATATGTATACATTTTATTTATATAGCACACTTTCATGACATATTCAACCTGAGGTGCTTTAGAAGAAAATAACTAAATAAAATACCTCAAAATAAAATGTATAATAAGAAATATACAATAAAATCAGACACAGTACAATGAATATATTATCAGTATCTAATTTAAGCCACAGTGGACATTCGCTGTTTATTTATTAAGGCTTAAACATCAGGTACGGTCAGTCCTGCTGCCATTCCTGCATTAATCGTTCATCAGCATTCATCACTACATCATTGTCACTGTTCTAGACGGTTCTTTCTTCCTTCCCACTGTTCTAGAATGTTCTCCCCTCATTCACAATAGCTCATTTGGTTTAACGGTTCAAACTAATCAAAGTCTTGTGAACGTTATAAAGGACAGTCCAGTCATCGGCATGAAGGCCACACCACACTGACCACACTGACACTGTCTAGACTGTTCTGCTCGATTCACATGGTTCTAGAATGCTCTTCCTCCATTTACACTGTTCTAGAATGTTCCCCCGTCATGCACAGGTCTCAAATGTTGTCCCCATTGACACTATTTTACAATGTTCGTTTGTGAATTAATCTTTCACACTGCTTGGTCAGAAGGTTGGCCCTGATTGGTCCGAACTCTGGTCATAATTGATCAAGAAGGTCAGCCCTGACAGGACCACCAGAAAGCTGGTCCAGTTGGCTGGCCTTGGTTTGTACGCCAGAAGGCTGGCCCTGATTGGTCAGAAGATTGGTGAAAAAGGTTGGCCTTGATTGGTCAGAAGTCTGACCATAATAGTTCAAGAAGGTTGGCCTTGACTAATACACCAGAAAGTGGCTCCAGTTGGCTGGCCCTGATTCGTCTGCTGGAAGGTTGGCCCTGATTGGTCAGAAGGTTAGTAAGAAGATTGGTCCTGATTGGTCAGAAGTCTGGCCACAATTGATCAAGATGGTTGGCTCTGACTGATCCACCAGAAAGTTGGTCCAGTTGGCTGGCCCTGATTCGTCTGCTGGAGGGTTGGCCCTGATTGATCAGAAGGTCGGTAAGAAGGTTAGCCTTGATTGGTCAGAAATCTGGCCATGATTGATCAAGAAGTTCAGCTTTGACTGATCCACCAGAAAGTTGGTCCAGTTGGCTGGCTTTGATTCATCTGCCAGAAGGCTGGCCCTGATTGGACAAAAGGTTGGAGAGAAGCTTGGCCTTGTTTGGTCTGCTAGAAGACCTGACTGGTCAGAAGGCTGGCCCTCATTTATCCACCAGGAGGTTGTCCCTGATTGTCTTTGAGGTTGACCATGATTGGGAAGAATGACTCTAATTGATGAGAAGCCTTGCCTTGATTGATCCTCCAGAATGTTGGCACTGATTGGACAGAACGCTTTTCCTTATTGGTCAGAAGGATGATCTTGATTGGTAAAAAGAGTGGCTCTAATTGGTGAAAACGTTGGCCCTGATTGGTCCACCAGAACGTTGGTTCTGATTGCTTAGAAGTCTAGAAGCCTGGCCCTGATTGATCTGACATTGGTCCTGATTGATCTGCTATAAGGCTGACTGACCCAGAGCAGGTTAGGCATGCAGTATAAGTTGCCATGGCGATGTACCCAGGAAAGAAGTGATCCATCAGCATGAGACAGAAAATCAGAAAATCTAAGTTTAAAGTTTGCTGGGTAAGTAAGAGATCCTGCTTTGTGAGACTGAGTCCTGCTGGCATGTCTGTGTTTATGTTTATACACTGAATGTAGATGCATTATAATTTGTTTTTGTTTGTCTCTGTGTCAGACCTGCTGGAGTGTGTGCTGAGGTGTATGCAGGCGAGTCGTCGGCTGCTGGTGGTCCTGAGCAGCGAGTGTGTGTGTGAGAAGAGCGTGAGCCTGCTGGAGTGCCGGCTGTGTGTGTACCTGCACCACACGTTCCGCACGCCTCTGATCACAGTGCGGAGATGTGCCCTCGGCACCCCCTGCAGCGAGCTGGCGGAGCTGCGGCGGAGCTCAACCTGCGTCCGATGGCACGGGGCACGCTCAGAGCCGCCCGGCTCACGTTTCTGGAAGCTTCTGAGGCTGGCGCTGCCCGTCCGGCCACTGGCATTGGGCCGACGGCTCATCGACAGCACATCCTCGCACTCGGACCTGGCGTCAGCCGCACTCAGACACACACATGTGCTCACACATGCACAGCTGGGGGTTTACGGAGGAGCACAGTGCCCGAAAAGTCACCAAGGTCAGGGACAGAGGGGGCGGGGCTGCGAAAAAAGGGGACGGGGCTGTGCTGTCTGTGTGAACTTTCAGGAGAGCCGGCATATTTGGGGCGGAGTCACTGTGCCCCACTGGAACACACACCTGCAGCAGAGCATCACGGCCAATGGGACTCTCACACACACTACACACACTATACATACAGCACTAAATGTGACGCCTGACCCTACAGACAACCAGGACGGTGAAACAAGAGCGACGCAGGGGTCATGTGACCACACCAACGACAATGGCACCCACAGCCAAAGCTGTGAGATTCAAACAACACACTGCTGAAATATATGAGGTCAGAGTGGAGGCCAAAAGGTCACTGAGATCAGGTATAGAGTGGGAGGAGCTTTCAATGGAAAGGTGGGACTGTGAGATGAGGGATGGGGCAGTGACAGGAGAGGTGGTGCACTGGGAGGAGGGTGCAGGGAAGTGAGAAGAGAGGCCGAGGCTATTAGGAGGTGGAGCTTTGAGAAGAAAGGACGGGGCTATGAAAAGAGGAGGCAAGGCTTTGAGAAGAGGAGGCAGTGTTTTGAAAAGAGAAGGTGAGGCCGTGAGAGGAGCAGCAGGACTGTGACAGAATTGGTGGGACCATGATATGAGGAGGGAAGCGTGGGGGAGGAGGTGGAGCTTTGAGAAGAAAGGATGTGACTATGAGAAGTGGAGGCAGGGATTTGAGTAGAATGGGTGAAGCTTTGAGGAGAGGAGGCAGGGCTTTGAGAAGAGTGGGTGGGGCTTTGAGAAGAGCGGTTCCATGACTGGGGCAGAGAGAAGATTGTGATAGGAGGAGGTGGGATTGTGGGATTTGGGGTGGGACTGTGTGATCTGGGCAGGACTGGGGGGTTGGGATCATGTCGGATTGCAAAGGTTGATAAAGTCAACACAATGTGGGATAGAATGGGTGGGGCATTAAATGAAGGGGTGGGGCAGTGAGAGCAGGGGTGTGGCTAGAGGAGGCAGGGCATTGGGAAGAGGGTGGAAGGGGCAGGTCTGAAGGATTTAGAGTAGGATTATGAGATAGGAACAGGCCTATGGGATTGGGGGCGGGATGGTGAGAGAAGGAGGCGGGGCTTTTTGGTATGAGGAAACAGGGTTGATGAAGGGGGCGGGGTTATGAGGGGACACTGTGCCACATTACTGAATATTTGAACTGTGTACACATACAGAGACTGAAGACTAACTGTTCTATGTATGTATGTTGCGTGCACACGTACGGTCACCTATGTTGAGGGTTATTATGGGATGTTGTGTAAGTGCAGAAAATAAACAGGAAATAGATCAATCGGCAACGTCCAGCCTCTTTCTCTGTTCTCTGCACTGAAGTTTCTCAAAGCACGGGTCACAATCTGTTTTGGGTCGCGGACGAGTTTTGCGTGGACTATAAATTATAAGGTAAGTTTATTGAAATTATTCAGTTGATGGAAAAAAACACAGGTCAAGTTTTGAAAACACATATTCATGCCATCTTTCACACCAAGTCTAAAACTGACAGGGTGCAGAGCCAGCTGGATTTTCTGTATGTGTTACAGAATCTGTTTATCTCCAGGCTGACCAATCAGAGCTATGTAGCTCCTCCAGCACTGGAGGAACGCAGCACATTGGACTTGATGTGAAGTCTTAGGTGCATTAAAAATCACACTGTGTTTTAAAGGCCCATGAAGAGCTTAATTAAGCTGGGTTTATAACTGTGTTTACAGAGGACACATCAGCTGTTCTAACTGGATGAGTATCCGAAATTTTGCACATACTAAAATTACAATTTTTATTTTTAGTTTTTAAGTGAATCAAAGTTTTAATTAGCAGATATAATTATTTTTGAATAACTGCAGAGGTTTTGTTTACTTTGTTTTATCATTAGAAAGCCTACCTTCTGCTTGTTCAATGTTAAAATGCTTACTTGTTGCCGTGTTTGCTGGTCACCTCCTCTGGGCAAAACTTGAGTGTTTTACAATGCTAACATAAAAGAGCAGCTTTTCCTAGCGTTAGCTGTTCAGCTGCTGTCTGGCTGTCCCTTATTGCCAGCCTGAGGATCTATGGGTGAACATGAGCTTCCTCTGCATCACATTAAGCTGACACAGCACCACAGAGCAGACGAACAGCAGTCGCTGTGCCCTACAAACACCTCCAGTCATCCAGCATTGCTGTGCGTGGACGGCAGAGAGGAACTAAGCCATGTTCCTGGATTCAGGCTCCAGCGAAGGAACATGCTCTGCACTAGAAACATCTAGAAACATCAGCCCTGTCCAGTCAGCGGTACAGGTAGATCTTATGTAAAACGACACCTCTGTGGTCACAATGCTACTATAGTGAGTTCTAGTGAAATAAGAGCTCCTGAAAAGCTGCACACAAACATCCCTTCAAGTTGGAACTTGTAATTCTGAAACTTTTTGGTTTCAGAGTTTTGGAATCAGCTTTCTTGTTGCACACACAGGTTTTAATTTGAACCGACATAAGATCGAGTGGGTGTGAGTTGCCTTGGTAAATCACTCTTCAAATTTAGTCTGAAATTACACTTAAAACTTTGTAAAGATGCCTGTAGATGACCTATACCCTCACCAAGTTAAGGGAGGAATAATTCCAGTCACCAGCAGCAAATAATTCTCTATGTTCCTGAATTTAACGTGTCCTTGGTATTGACCAATTAGGCCATAGATCTCTGACATCCGGCATTATTCATGCACATATAAGGAGTTTATTGTGAGTTTATGATGAGTTTATGATGAGTTCATTTTCATATATGGTGAGTTTATTGTGAGTGTATGATGAGTTTATTGTGAGTTTATTGTGAGTTTATGGTGAGTTTATTGTGAGTTTATTGTGAGTTTATGGTGAGTTTATTGTAAGTATATGCTGAGTTCATTCTAATATATGGTGAGTTTAAGTTTATGGTGAGTTTATTGTGAGTAAATGATGAGTTTATTGTGAGTTTATTGTGAGTTTATTGTGAGTTTATGGTGAGTTTATTGTGAGTTTATGCTGAGTTCATTCTAAGATATGGTGAGTTTAAGTTTATGGTGAGTTTATTGTGAGTAAATGATGAGTTTATTGTAAGTTTATGGTGAGTTTATTGTGAGTAAATGATGAGTTTATTGTAAGTTTATGGTGAGTTTATTGTGAGTTTATGGTGAGTTTATTGTGAGTTTATGGTGAGTTTATTGTGAGTATATGCTGAGTTCATTCTAAGATATGGTGAGTTGAAGTTTATGGTGAGTTTATTGTGAGTTTATGGTGAATTTGTTGTGAGTTTATGGTGAGTTTATTGTGAGTGTAATATGAGTTTATTGTGAGTTTATGGTGAGTTCATTATGCGTATATGATGAGTTCATTTTAATATGTGGTAAGTTTAAATTTATGGTGAGTTTATTATGAGTTTATTTTAGGTATGTGAAGTTTATTTTAGGTGAGATTTTTCTGAGTATATAATGAGTATTGTGTGTTTATGGTGAGTTTATTGTGAGTATATCATGGTTTTTATGAATATATTTTTATTGTGAGTTTATTGTCGGTTTATTATGAGATTATTGTGAGTTTATTGTGAGTACATGATGAGTTTATTGTGAGTGTATGATAAGTTTATTGTGAGTTTATGATGAGTTTATTGTGAGTATATGATAAGTTTATTATGAGATTATGGTAAGTTTATTGTGAGTTTATTATGAGTATATAATGAGTTTATTTTGAGTTTACGGTGAGTTTATGGTGAGTTTATTGTAAGTTTATGGTGAGTTTATTGTAAGTTTATGGTGAGTTTATTGTGAGTTTATGATGAGTTTATTGTGAGTTTATTGTGAGTATATGATGAGTATATTGTGAATTTATGGTTAGTTTATTGTGAGTTTATGATGATTTTATTTTGAGTTTTATTGTGAAAATCTGCTATGTACTGAAGATGCATAAAATTCAGAGTCACCTGACAGGAGGTTAACTGTACTGATTTTTGTCACCAAATATTACTAGGTGGTTTATAAGAAATAGATGTTTTATTACATTTCGTTAATAATCAATAGATCGTGTTACTGTATATGGCTAAGAACTTATTGATATGAAGCTTTCTTATATAGAAAAGATGTTGAGAGGTAGTTGACACTCATCTCACTGTCTGTATGATATAAACTGATAAAACATGGCAGTAGAGACAAATGGTCATGGAATAGCTCTGTGATACTTGATTGATATTAAACGTGTCCTCAATTTACTGTCAAAAATAGACCATAAATAAAGCGTTATAGAAGAAACACAGTCTCACTCACACAGCCTCATTATTGTGTGTGTGTGTGTATGTGAGTGAGTTGACACAGTGAGCATGCAAGCAGCATGTGGGGGGGATTTCCTAGGAGGTCATCTCGGCCCGCCCTGAGGAAGAGACTGCGGGACGTCACGGATGGAGCTGATTTCCTGTTTTGCTTCAGTTCAGATGGAGCTGAGCTGCTGCCTGTGAATAACCCACACAGAGGACTCACTGCACACACCTCACACACTCAGCACTGAGAGAGACATGATCAGGTAGGAGCTCGCACGCCCCTCGCTGGGTCTGTGTGTGTGTGTTTGTGTGTGTTGCAATTTCCTGTAAACAACTACAGCGGTGATAAGAAATTTAAAATTTAATGTAGTTTCTAGACCAAGGTTTAATAATACAGGTTAAATTGGTTTATCATTAATTATAAATTAATAAAATAAATTTATAAGGATGAATAATTAAAATAAAGCTATACAGTTTGAAGTACACATATGATAATAGATGTAAGCTTCACATGAATATGGACATGCAACAAAACAACAGAACAAAACAAAAACAAAGTAAACAATAAGGCAAACATGAAAAATGATCTGGTCATTGGGAATCAGAATTAGCGATTAAATAACAGAAGATTTGCTGCGTTACATTTACTCTGATCTTATGGCAGTTCTGATTTAATATATATTGGTAACACTTTACTGTAGGGTGCTGTTTATAAGGCTACATGACACCTACATAAGCTAGTCATGACAACGGACATAACCCTACATAAATGCCTATAAATGCTTATTTCAATAGGCGTCATCTGTCATAAAGACTACTTTAGCAGATTTTGATCAGAACTACCAAATGTAGCCTTTATAGCGAATAACGCCTATTGGAATAAGCATTAATAAACATTTATGTATGGTTATGTCAGTTGTCATGACAAGCTTATGTAGGTGTCGTAAAGCCTTATGACCAGCACCCTACAGTAAAGTGTTACCTATATTTTTTTTTAAAAGTATAGCCTCTTGGGATCCAGCATCTTATTTTCATTGATGGGTCACATAAACACAAACACAAAATTATAAAACACATACAGACAAAAAATACATACCATACAACCTTAATACACAAAACAGCTCTGACCCTCCCTCACCTCAACACTCAGCTGTTGTTCAAGAAAAAAAAGTACTACATATATAATAATAGATGAATTGTATTTGTAATGGGCAATGGAAGCAGTTGATAATGTGCTACATATGAACTGAAAAATGAAAACCGCTCAAATTAAAAAGCATAAACAATAGGAAGATTAAAAGAGGAACATTCCGCTCAGAGAGAGCTTATTGAAATGACGGCTGCTTAGAAAGTTCTAGGGACAAAGAAAACAGGAAGTCTGAGTGGATATGATGATCCACATGGGACAAAAACTGTTTCAAACAGGAAGAACACGCAAAATAAACTCACTGAAAGAAGAACTGAACCTACTGAAACTGTAGATTTGGGCTGCGACCAATTAAGCGATTCATAAACCATGTAACTCACAGTTACACGGTCAAGTTCAGCATTTATTTTAAAGAAATATTTGAAAATAAATAATTTTAATCAAGTTCGCTTAGAAATTCTGTTGTCATTTTATTTGCTTGTCATTTTATTTTTTGATCATCTTGGTTTTCCTCACTTTGCTCTGTTTCTGTTCCCATGTTCAGTTCACATTTTAATAATCATTTAAAAATGTACATTTTTTGACCCGGTTATTAATTAAAATACTGTTGTCATTCATTTTATTTACTCATCATTTCACCTCATTTTATTTTTTCCATCATTTTAGCTTTATTTTTTGTTTCTATTTTTGCGTTTTTCTTTGCGTTCATTACTTAATTTTACTTTTCAATTGTAAAACACTTTGCGTATGAAAGGTGCTCTTTAAATAAAGTGGATTACTATCATTATTAAATGAAACAGTGCTGAGTTTTCTATGGGTACCTCAAAACAAACCTTCATAAAGAATTATATGCAACAGTACGAGGCCTTAGATCAGTGTCAGAGATGTTCTGGTAGACAATGTCAGCGTAATAAATAATAGATAATATCAACTGAGAAATGAATTGTTAAACAGTTAATTGAGTGATAAATTGATCTCTGAACAACCAGATGTTCTTTTTATAATAAAGTCAACATGGAGCTTTAAGGAGAGTTCAGGGTCAATCCAAAGTCCAAGATATTTGAACGAAACCACTTTCAAGTGGTGACCCCTCTTAAAAATAATATGCAAATTAAATGGATATGATCAACTCGTGTAGCAAAGACCATGCTGTATCATCTATAGGGAACCATTCAATTTAAGTGTAAGCAAATAATATGTTGATTCAACATTTTCACCCTTTAAATTTCACCAAACTGTGAAATGAACACCACCTCTGAAATGAAGACTGCTTTGGAAATCCTTTACATGTGCTTTAGAAGCTGATTTCAAGCAGTTAATCCTCAGAATATTTGCAAGATCGTGAATAAAAGTGTAAAGAATAACTGCTACTGCATGTTTGATAGGAAGTACAGTAAGAGCTCATTTTTAATATTTGGTCATGTGATGTTTGAATATACAAGATGAAATTTGCTTATGCTAATTGTTGTGTTTGTGTGTTTTCATGAACGCCAGGTTACTCCTGCTGCTCGCCTCAGCGCTGTGGCCAATGACCAGCGGTAAGAGTGACCTCACAGTCATAGTGGTGAATATGTCCTATCACAGTTTCACCATATTGTATATATATTTGAATACACTTAAACATACTGACAATGTCCCAAAAGCACTAATGCACACTAATGATAAAGATAAATACTAAATATGAAATTAACCCAGCACTGCTACTGTTTAATGTTCTGATTATAAGTATAGAAATATCTGTTTATTGTTTGGATTATAGGTGTGCATACATGTGTTTACTGTTGAAATTATAGCTGTATTCAGATTATAACTGTAAACATATGTTTATTGTACAGATTCTAACTGTAAGCGTGATTACTATTTACATCATAACTGTGTATACATGGGTTTACTGCTGAAATTATAACTGTGTTCAGATTATAACTGTGTAAACATGTTTACTAAACGTACGTATACTGCTCAGATTATAAATATAAACATGCGCTTAGTGCTTAGATTATAAATGTAAAAATGCAAATAGTGTTCCAATTACAACTGTAAGCATGCATTTAGTATTCAGATTATAAACGTAAACATGCATATACTGCAGATTATAAGTGTAAACATTCATGTAATGCTAAAATGCTAAATGTAAACATGCTTTTAGTTTTAAAAGTAAACATGTGTACATGTGTGTGCTTAAATTATAAACGTAAATGTGCACTTAGTGCTCAGATTATAACTGTACATGTGAGTTTAGTACTCAGATTATAACTGAAAACATGCATTTAGTGCTCAGATTATAAATGTAAACATGCGTGTAGTGCTCAGATTATAACCGTATCTGTGTGTTTAGTACTCAGATTATAAAGGTAAACGTGTACAGTGTTCAGATTGTAAAAGTGAACATTCATTTAATGCTCAGATTATAACTGTGTAAACATGTGTTTACTGTTCAGATTATAACTGTGTAAACATGTTTACTCATCAGAATATGTGTGTATAACTGTACATATCTGTGTAAATGTGTTTACTGTAACTCTATAACTGTAAACGTGTTTATTGTTCAGATTATAACTAGAAACGTGTTTGCTGTTTAGATTATCACAGTGTAAACGTGTGTAGTTATCTACTGGATTCACTGGATTTAATGTTGGTTATTTGTCATTACTTCATTCTTATATCATTTATCATAGGCCATTTTTGCTTTTTCCACCTCTCACAGCTACACGTCAGGCAAAATTCTATTTGTGTGATAAAAAAACCACTTTCAGTTTCCTGTTTACAAATTACACTGTTTATCAGCTTCAGAGATCACAGCACAACATCCTCAAAACAGGGCAGTTGTGCAGCAAGCATGAGAAATATATATATAAATATATATAAATGTCAACAAAAGCCATAAATGTCAAAACTCAAAAAACAACAGTGCTAATTTCTGCTAGAGCCCCTATGGGATTTCTAATACTATGTTACCGCTAAGCTAAAACTGATGAACATTGACATTCGGATATTCCAGATTAAACACAGATATTCAAATCTTGTAAAAGTCATGTGTTTTATCTGAAGTTTGTGTCAGACATTATCATATATCTGAGCTTGTGTGTATCAGTGTTACAGCGACTCTTCAGTAAAGAGCCCTGCATAGAGCTGCCACCACTGTTTAATATTCCTAACAACTAACCGGAACACTGCTTATACAACAGCTTTCAGTCAGAGACGTATCTAGAACTTCAAGAAGGACCAGATTGACACTTGTTCTCTCAAAATTGGGTGTTAATGGGAAACATTTTGGTAGATAATCTAATATGTAAGGCCTTCAGTCCAGCTCCTAAAGTCTTGACCAATGGGATTATTTATCTAGATACCACAAAGAAGACAATCCTGATTGGATCATTTTCTGTTGAGATTTTCAGGGTGTTTCATGGCCGTAATATGACACTTACAGAGTTTACATACAACAAGCATGAAGACTCTATTAAATTATATTACTTTCTAAAAGAAATAAAATAAGACATCTTTGTTTTTGTCCAGGTGGCACTGCAGTGCATGAGGTGAGGGGCCAAGTGGGCGGGGCTGTGCGGCTGACCTGCAGGATTGACAACTCGCTCCCAGTCAAAGCTGTTTTCTTTCAGAAGAAGAATCTCTCCGGAGTGTACGACATCTTAGTTAACGGCTTCTACATCCATACAGTGACAGGTTTCCTACTCGATGAGTACAGAAACAGAACCAGAGTCAACAGGGCAGAACGCAGCCTGGATTTCTGGGACCTAAAGGCATCTGACGAAGGATATTACAAGTGTTTCTTCATTCGCCAAGACACCCTCAGAAGCTATGACACCACATTTCGTCTCACAATTACAGGTACGACTCTCATCTATACATACAATTACACATACTGAGCTTGTTCTACTATGTTTATGAATTTTTGAATGTGTTTTTGTGACAATGTGTGAACAAGTGTGCATGCAGTGCTGTAACTCCTAAACTCTTCTGTCCTAGTATTACACTTGTTAGTGTACTATTTCAGTACTTTTGGGACTCATTTGGCCCTTATAAAAGTACATTTTGAAGTATATCACAAGTAACATATACACTCATTGGCCCGACTGCATGTCTTTGGACTGTGGGAGGAAACCGGAGCACTTGGAGGAAACCCACACAGAGATGGAGAGAAAGAACCCTGGTTAACCCGGCTGGAGAAATAGCTGCTTTTCTCGCATCTCTGGCAGGAAATTTTCCTCAAAAGTAGAACAGTTTCTTGTAAAAGTTCTCAACGTTAGACTTTAATGAGGCTGAAGCCGCTTCTCATTTACCAGCTTCTTGTTCGAATTGAACGAAGCTTAGATTTTCCCAATTCCGCCTTAAATGGTGCCGCGGTTGCATTCTGGCGCCTCAGGCAGCATTTAAGGTGGAACGGGAAAATTAAAGGGTCCATATTCTTCATTTTCCTTGTACTATGTATTATTTTATCCCTCCTTAGATCCACTTTACAAAAACATAATTCCCTTATCACTAAGAATGAAACAGATTTTTATTACTGTGCTTTTAAGACTGATTTATGCAAATGAGCTGTATGACATCACAAAACCAGTACATTCTGTTGCAGTCTTATATGTCCAATTGTAAAAACTGTATTAGTTTAATTTTGTTATCTGCGTCAGTCCCTCACGCTGTTTCCCTTTTCACAACCAGCCGACTACAGCGTTCCCACGGTAACCGTGCAGGAGTGTAGTGACCGTGGCGAGGGTGCGCTGAGCTGTGAGCTGGGCTGCTCATCATTTGGGGGATACCCACTGGCCAACCTGAGCTGGACAGTGTCGAAGGGCGGGAATGAGGTCCTCCTGCAGGAAGGGGGCAGCGTGAACACGGCTGACAAACACTCTGGCGTCTGGAACGTCTCCCAAACCATCAGGCTCAACTGCACACAGCCTACTAATGTCAGCTGCTCTGTAGGGGGCGTTGTCTCCCCTCCGCTCAGCATATGTGAGAGACTCTTCAGTAAAGAGCCCTGCATAGAGCTGCCACCACTGTTTAATATTCCTAACAACTAACCGGAACACTGCTTATACAACAGCTTTCAGTCAGAGACGTATCTAGAACTTCAAGAAGGACCAGATTGACACTTGTTCTCTCAAAATTGGGTGTTAATGGGAAACATTTTGGTAGATAATCTAATATGTAAGGCCTTCAGTCCAGCTCCTAAAGTCTTGACCAATGGGATTATTTATCTAGATACCACAAAGAAGACAATCCTGATTGGATCATTTTCTGTTGAGATTTTCAGGGTGTTTCTAGGCCGTAATATGACACTTACAGAGTTTACATACAACAAGCATGAAGACTCTATTAAATTGTATTACTTTCTAAAAGAAATAAAATAAGACATCTTTGTTTTTGTCCAGGTGGCACTGCAGTGCATGAGGTGAGGGGCCATGTGGGCGGGGCTGTGCGGCTGACCTGCAGGATTGACAACTCGCTCCCAGTCAAAGGCGTTTTCTTTCAGAAGAAGAATCTCTCCGGAGTGTACGACATCTTAGTTAACGGCTTCTACAGCCATATAGTGACAGGTTTCCTACTCGATGAGTACAGAAACAGAACCAGAGTCAACAGGGCAGAACGCAGCCTGGATTTCTGGGACCTAAAGGCATCTGACGAAGGATATTACAAGTGTTTCTTCATTCCCCAAGACACCCTCAGAAGCTATGACACCACATTTCGTCTCACAATTACAGGTACGACTCTCATCTATACATACAATTACACATACTGAGCTTGTTCTACTATGTTTATGAATTTTTGAATGTGTTTTTGTGACAATGTGTGAACAAGTGTGCATGCAGTGCTGTAACTCCTAAACTCTTCTGTCCTAGTATTACACTTGTTAGTGTACTATTTCAGTACTTTTGGGACTCATTTGGCCCTTATAAAAGTACATTTTGAAGTATATCACAAGTAACATATACACTCATTGGCCCGACTGCATGTCTTTGGACTGTGGGAGGAAACCGGAGCACTTGGAGGAAACCCACACAGAGATGGAGAGAAAGAACCCTGGTTAACCCGGCTGGAGAAATAGCTGCTTTTCTCGCATCTCTGGCAGGAAATTTTCCTCAAAAGTAGAACAGTTTCTTGTAAAAGTTCTCAACGTTAGACTTTAATGAGGCTGAAGCCGCTTCTCATTTACCAGCTTCTTGTTCGAATTGAACGAAGCTTAGATTTTCCCAATTCCGCCTTAAATGGTGCCGCGGTTGCATTCTGGCGCCTCAGGCAGCATTTAAGGTGGAACGGGAAAATTAAAGGGTCCATATTCTTCATTTTCCTTGTACTATGTATTATTTTATCCCTCCTTAGATCCACTTTACAAAAACATAATTCCCTTATCACTAAGAATGAAACAGATTTTTATTACTGTGCTTTTAAGACTGATTTATGCAAATGAGCTGTATGACATCACAAAACCAGTACATTCTGTTGCAGTCTTATATGTCCAATTGTAAAAACTGTATTAGTTTAATTTTGTTATCTGCGTCAGTCCCTCACGCTGTTTCCCTTTTCACAACCAGCCGACTACAGCGTTCCCACGGTAACCGTGCAGGAGTGTAGTGACCGTGGCGAGGGTGCGCTGAGCTGTGAGCTGGGCTGCTCATCATTTGGGGGATACCCACTGGCCAACCTGAGCTGGACAGTGTCGAAGGGCGGGAATGAGGTCCTCCTGCAGGAAGGGGGCAGCGTGAACACGGCTGACAAACACTCTGGCGTCTGGAACGTCTCCCAAACCATCAGGCTCAACTGCACACAGCCTACTAATGTCAGCTGCTCTGTAGGGGGCGTTGTCTCCCCTCCGCTCAGCATATGTGAGAGACTTTGGGCAAAACACACTGAAAAAACGTTTTTTATGAAAGAAGTAGCAGATACTGAATCCTGAATACACTGTACTGAATGTGTTCAGTAACGTATTCCATTACAGTACATTAATCTAATTAAAGCAGATGGGAAAATCTCTGTTACCTCTCCTTGTGTAATTCTTCTGTTGATATATTTCATGATAAAATCAACTGTTTTTTGATCACGTGATCAAACATGAAGCATGTTTTATCATTCATCAAGGTGTTTTGGTGTGAGGGTTGAAGTGTTTGTTTTGCCTTCCAGGCAACGCCAAGTGTGAAATGCTTTTTTAGGAAAAGAAACAGCGCCACCTATTGTATAATTTGAGCATTTTTCTTTAAAAAAAACCCGAGGAAGGAGAGAACCAGGAAGTGTTGGGAAAGAACAGCCAGAACGAGTGTAGGTTCAGTTTAAGCCGTAAGCATTTAGCTGATTAGCATAAGCATATTTTTGAGATTTGAGTCCAATTTAAAGTCATTTAGGCTTAATTACATTTTCTGTGGTCACTAGCAAGCCTTACAAAAAGAGCACTTAAAATGTATAAATATTAAGTTAACTTAAGTAAAGTTCAAGTATATTTCCCAAATACACTTTATGTATTAATGATACTAATATCAGTGTACTAGTAGTATAGTCGTAAGTGTACTATTTCAGTACTTCTTGAGACTAAACCGTCCCACTTTTTAGTTTATAAAAGTATACTTTTAAGTATTCTTTATGTGTAAGAGCAGTAAACTTTCACTACACAGCTAGTTTACATATAAGATTTGTTTTGTACTGCAACTTTGCTAAAAGTGAACTTTACTGCTCATTTACTAGTTATATACTATTATCCCACATTTTAGTTTATAAAATACAAGTAGACTCTCTCTAAACTATGTTTAATAGGTTTCATGCTAAAAGTTTTCTTTAAATGAACTTAATATATAGTCAGTTTAATATTTACATATTATTTTTGCACTTTAAAGTATAATACTACTGCTTGAAAAACACTAAGTAGGCTTGAAGTTAACTTATGTGAACACTATCAGTGGACTACACAGAAATTCACTAGACAGACTCAGGATTAAAAACATTTGGTTTCTTAATAAAGCAATTTAAGCATATTGTATTTGATGCCAAAAGATGAGAACATAAATTAACATTCCAGCCTAAAACAAAACAGTTTGTGGGGATGTTTGATAGTTCATGCCATGTAACCTCTCTAAAATCAGTCCCTGGCTACCCAAATCCAGGTTGTACAAAAGATCAGTTCAACAAATGTCCTGTACACTCAGCTATTCCACCCCAACCTTTACAAAAAAAAAAAGAAATTCATTTTGTTAAGTAAACATAAGTTCAAGTATATTTCCCCAAGTATACTTTATACTAATCAGTGTCCTAGTAGCATACTTGTTAGTGTAATTTCAGTACTTTTCAGACTCAATTGGCCCTTATAAAAGTACACTTCAAAGTATACCACAGGTAAAATTACATACACTCATTGGCCTGACTGCATGTCTTTGGACTGTTGTAGGAAACCGGAGCACCCACAGAGATGGAGAGGACATGCAAACACCACACAGACACGACCCTGGTTATCCAGCTGGAGAAATGTAGCTGCTTTTCTCGCATCTCTAGCAGGAATCTTTTCCTCAAAAGTAGAACAGTTTCTTGTAAAAGATCTCAACGTTAGACTTTTTACGAGGCTGAAGTCGCTTCTCATTCACCAGCCTCTTATTAGAATTGAAAAAAGCTGAAGTCAGTTTCTCATTTACGTTTCCCCATTCCGCCTTAAGTGCTGCCCCGGTTACGGAACAGAAATTTAAATGATAAACTGACTTCAGCTTTGAGAATTTAGTGTTTGACAGTTTCTCGTTGCAGAATAAAAGCATCAGGAAACCAGCTGGAGTTTGTCTCTAAATAAATGATGTTCATCTTAAATCTTTCTCTTTGCTGTTTTGTCAACTACTAGCTAGTCGAGGCCGTTCTCTGTGTTGCTATGGTGACCAGCAGTCTGCGCTGATCTTCAGGGTTAAAGGGTGATTTAGCAGTTCTACATTAACTCCAGAGTTTAAGATCATTTATTGTTAAACTGTGTTGAACGATCAGCAGAGCTTTATTTTACTGTAAAGGAGGATTATTTTATTTTTACCTACAAAGAGCCTCATGCAACCCCAGAGCTAGGGCCTGCGCTAAGGCATGAGCCAACAGCATGTGCATTCTTTGCTGCAAAAGAAGCACAAATAAAAAAATTCAACAGGCTTGGGCGGTCGAGGTCAACAGGCCAAATTAGACGCTGAACAAGGAAGATTAGCTTTGTAGAGAGAATCAGCAGCCACCAAAGCACATGCAGAGACATTGGAGGCAGCTGAGGTGAATGATGGCAGTGTGACTTCCAGAAAAGAAGTGAATGCACTGCCAGGTGCATTTGTATCTATGCATATCACAAATTATCAGAAACAAATTAAACTGCATTCTCTCCCATTTTGATGCTACAATACTCATCCTGATAGCAGCCTCATATCTAAGAACGCGTTCTTCAGATGCCACAGTCTGCAACAGAAAAGCAGTTAGTTTGAGTTGCAATGCGTTCTTTGACTCCATCTTGCTACAAAAGGAGTCAGATTTCCCCCACTAAAAAGATCCATGCATTGTGACAATGGTAAAGAGGATTGTCCTTGCCCTGAGCCTCATAACACCTCAGCCTCATGGCCAGCTACATTACACAAGTTCAGGGAACCAACCACAGTCACTGCCAAGACAGACGTCACCAAGCATCTGTGAAGTTGGAGGCATAGGCATGTTGGAAGGATCCATTAGCAGGTTGAATACAAAGTTTAAAAGCCCAAAAATAGGCAGGGGTCAGACACCAGATACTCAAGAACATTACAATCAAAGGTATCCAAGAAAACAGACCAAAGAGACAAAGAACCAACACAAAAGTTTAAGACCAAAAAAAAATAGGAGGCTAAAGATTGCGAGCATATAACAACTGGCAACACTTCACAAGAAATGTTTGGAGAAGGGTATTTGTAGGAGAGGTAATTAGTGAAAGGGGAAACAGGTGAGGGGAATGAGTGAGACACAGCCTCAGAATTCGGGGGATGCTGACCTCTGGTGTCTAAAGTCGGGAGTGCTACTGACAGAACCTAGCATGCCATGAGCTGGTGAGTACAGGGCTTAGCCAGACTAATGATCAGCCCGAGAGCTTCAGAGCTTGGAGGTCTCACCAATGATATTGGAGTTCTGGGGCTTTTAGCCAGAAGTGATCAAGAATTTCCCCAAAATAACCAGGAGAGATGTTGAACTGTGGGTTGGTGATCTCTTAGTGGGGCTCCATTTAGCAAAAGAAGATGGTTACTTGACTGGGTTGGCCTTCCTTGACACTGCCCAGGGCAGAGTTGCCCAATACGTGGATCACAGTACATGTTGGTAGATCGTGGAAAACTTACCTTTTCCATGCAGAGCGGGAGGAGGACTATTTTTTACGATGTCAAACTCCAAATGCATCTGCTTGATTTGCCAAGTAGCCATCACACTTCCAAAGAATGCTGAAAGTCAATATAGGCCACTGAAGTGCATTAAAAAGTTTCAAAGCTTTTAAAAAAGGATGAGGTCAGCCTTTTTTTTGTAGATCACGATGACCTGTCCACTGGAAAAAGTAGGTCTCAAGCCACAAAAGTATGGGCACCCCTGGCCCAAGGGATAAACCCTATAGTGGCAAACCTTCCCCACGCACTGCAAGAGAAATGGAGATCCTACAGCTCCAAGTTCAAGACTGAGAACAATGGACACCTCTCTCTGCTTTCCTTCTTTGCTGCATTCATGCAATGAAGCACACACCAGGAATGACCGTAGCTTTGCTTTTGCCAGCGGTACCACCAGAGGTACCATCTCAAAGCAGCTAAAAAATGCCCCATTCACCCCACCCGCTGAAGACGGGTAGAGCTTTCAGGATTGTGACAAACAACAAAGAGACCAAGGGAGTTTCACAAAGCAGGATTTCTCAGTTTAAAAGCCCAAAGTCAAGCTTTTCCAATAGGAATGTCCTTCACCTCTTTGCCCTACCACCAGCTTTGCCCTGCCACCACCGATAGAGTGCAATCAAATACCCAACAACAGATCTGAGATACACACACTAAAAGTAGGACTCCGGGGAGCAGTCGGGGATTCAGTCATGTACTGTCGTCTCAGGGGATCAAACCGGTGACCTTCCGGTCACAAGAATGGATCCCTAACCCCCAGCCCACGACTGCAAGAAACTCTGGCCATGGACTGGAAAGGTGTAGTTTCTTCTCAACTCTTTGAATCTCTGCTTAAAGTTAAACTAAGCTTAAAGATAGCTTGATAAGCAAGAAATACTGCGTGGGGGGCGACAGAGCCCTCAATCCAGAATGCTGAGAAGGTGATCTGCAATTTAATCCCCCTGGGTCCATGAATTCACCCGCACATCAGATTCACTGTTTCTATATGTGTTTCTGTATCTTTGTGCTGATCCACCTCAGAAGTCCAGTTCAAACACTTCCTGAATCTGTAGAGTCGCCCTTTCTATTCCATTCACTCACACTCACATCCAGAGTTATAAGCCTATGAAGAGGGGCTGATCACCCTGTCTACAGTGGAGGAGTGTAACCATCAAAATGTGAAACAGTGGAGCTGATCTGATTGACAGAACAAATACGATGTACCATTTATTACGCTCAGATGGAAATTCCTGACTTGCACTAACCAGCCCTAGTGAGCCAATTAGGGTCTAACGAATAATTAACTAGGAGGGTGTCCAAACTTTTGCACATGCTACAATTACATTTTGTTTTCTAGTTTGTTACTTAATCAAATATAAAGCTTTGCAGAAAAATGTTAGTTTATAAATAACCACAGAGGTCATGTTTATTTAATTTCGCTTCAAAACATGTCGTTTGGTCAGGGGTGACACAACTTTTGCATACAGCTGCGCATGGGTTGAGTGCTGACACCCAGCTGGGGTCAATATTTAGGACTGTAATGCTGTCCTCGGGTTTGATCTGCTGTGTTTACTCTCACAGGCACTAGATGGCAGTGTTTCTCTGTCAGTTCAAATTCAATGTTTTTTTTCTTTCTATTTTAAATACACAACTGCAGGATTTACATGACAG